AAAGAAAGAAAGAAAGAAAGAAAGAAAGAAAGAAAGAAAGAAAGAAAGAAAGAAAGAAAGAAAATGGAGGGAAATTTTGCTGATGAACCATTCATGTATTTTAAAAAAACAGTTTTCAATTGAGAGCCTTTACTTGACAGGACAGGCATGGAGCAAAGAACAAACTACAATTGCTATCTGTTTGAAGAAGCTGCCTTCATACATAGAAAGAAATAGGTTTGCAGACAAGTTTTCTGTCCATGGTGCCAGTTCTCTGTTGTGGTGAATATTAAAACTCGAAATTTCAGGGGCTGCAATAATTTCTTCCAATAGAAGAAGGGAAATCAAGGAATTAGAAGTTGCCAAGAAACCATGCTTCAAAGTGGCATGATAAGGAAAAGTAAGAAAATCTGGGGTGTAGGGTCGAAGCATAACAGGAGCTGGCTTGAAACATCAAAGCATGACTATAGACAGACTGGATATGCAGCAACCTCCCAAGTGCATTCCCTTAAAAATGAACCCCCTGATTTCATGAAACTTGTGCACAGTTCTATTGTTTCATTGAACATTTCAAAAACCTATTGCGAGTTTTCAGAACATTTCAAAGCTCAGGTCTGCAGATAACCAGCCCAAGCCTCTATGAGTCCATTTAAAAGTCCATGTAAATTTCATTAAAAGAACCACCAGCTGTGTATGCAGGATTGTGTTTTAGAACAGAAGGAAATGCCTTTTCCCCCCTTTCCTAGCATCATCCCTGTATAACATAGAAATTGCTACAGCGGATAACCAAGCAGAACACAGAAGGAAGGGGTGAATATTATGTCAGTTAAAACAGACTTACCAATTTTAAAAAATTAAAAATGCAACTTTAAGAATAGAAACAGAATCCCATGGTAGAATGATGCAAGGGAAAAGAATTGAAAGGAGAAGGGGTGAGGAGAGACTCATTGTATGCAAAGTTTCTCAGGGCTTCTGGGTATTATTCCATTTTTACTCATGAAGCAAAGTCTCTTGGCTGTCAGGACAGTGTTTCTCCTGCCCTGTTTCCATGTTCTTCCCTAGATGGTTCTGGCTATGACCAGACGAATAGCTGGCTGACTTGTCTCCAGCAGCTCCAGGCAAATGCCCTGACGTGCAGCAGAGGACAGCCGTACAAGCTTGTCGGAACCGTGGATCAAAGAAGGCATAGAGAAAAGGATTGAGGCAGCTGTTGACATAGGCCAAGCAGCTGCAGTACGGGTGGAGATTGCTCAGAAAGGCATGGAAGCTGCAGGACAAGGGCATCACCTCCCAGTCCATTAGCATGTAGATGGTTTTCACCAAGTGGAAGGGGAGCCAGCAGATTGCAAAAGTGGTCACAAGGACAATGATAATGGTTAGCAGGCGCTTCCGTTTCCTCAACCCTTCACTGCGCTCCTTTCGGAAGTGACCTGCAATCGTACGGGCAATGAAGAAGTAGCAAATCAGCATGATGGCGAAGGGGATTACAAATCCCATCAGGGTAGAGGACAAGCCAAGCCCTGCTTCCCAGGCTGCCTCAGTCTTGTTGGTTGCCACACTTGAATAATCCATGAAACATGTCACTTTGTCACTCCCAAGGAATACTCCAGTCCTCCGGAAAATCATGGCTGGCAAGGCCAAGAGAGCCGCCATAGTCCAGAGCACAATGGTCATTAGAAGTCCACTAGCTTTGGACCTCAGCTTGGCATTGGCTATGGGGCGAACGATAGCCAAGTAGCGGTCAAAGCTGAGCCCTGTGAGGCAGAAGACACTGGCGTACATATTGACAAAGACCAGATAGCTGCTGAGCTTGCAGGCAAAAGAGCCAAAAGACCAATGGTAGTCCAGGACCACATAGGTGGCCCATAGGGGCAAAGTGACCACAAAAGTCAGATCAGCTATTGCCAGGTTTGCAATGAATGTATCTGCTGAGCGTCGCTTTTCTTGTCCTCCTCGGAAAATGGTCCACAGCACCAAACCATTGCCAGTGGTGCCCAGGAAAAAAACAAGCAAATAGATTGAAGGAATTAGGATTTTGGAAGAACTCCAGTCATCGTAGTCACATTCATAGCTGCTGGAGTTATTGTCAGTATCGTTGCCAAATTCCATTTCTGCTGGAAGAAGTTGTTCTCCCTCTTTTTTTGTTTTTTGCTCTTTGGTTTCCAGATCACTCAGCAGGATAAATCTTGGCAGAGTTCTTGTGTAGAAGGAAGACCAAAAAAAAAAAAAATGTTGCAGGGTCTCTCAGCTCATATGTGTCTTTCTGTTGCCTCCTTCCTTTCAAAGCTTTAGACAGATCTGGCCAGTGCCTCTCACAGTCTGGGTCATCTCTCTCACACACCCACTCATTCCTACTGTAGTAGTAGCTTCCTTTTGAGTTGTCTTAAAACCTTTGTATCCCAGCCCCCTTCCCCCCCCCAGTCCTCCCCTTGCTTTCACTCAACATCCTTATGTGAATTGGATGAATTGACCCCTGTGGTGCTGGGCAGCTCCATCTGCCATTTGGATCCTCCCCTTCACAAACACTCTCTACATGTGCTCTCACCCTAAGCTTCTCAGAGCAAGGAAAGGAATGTGGCTTAAGACAACCAGAGATGCTGGGTGGGTGGCATGGAGCGATAATCCAAATAGCAGGGTTCCCAGATGCCCTGCTAACCCGATCAACCCTTTGCCTAAAGACTCGGTTTCCCAATTATCAGTTCTTCTCAGTTTCAGCTGCAAAGTGATCTAAGTGCTTTTTTTTCCCCCTTCAAAACTAAGCATCCTTGACTTTAGGACATTGTGTGATCACATTAGGATAGCACATTAAGAAACGTCTGTCAATGCAAAGGAATGGCGTGTTCATACATATACATAAATAAGCTTTTACTAAGGAAGTTGAAAATTATTCTGCTTGGCTCCCTGAAAGGCTTTGAAAACTAAGGTGGTGGGGGCAGAGCTGGGAAGAATGAGAGACTCCCAGCAAACATCTCAGAGAGAAGCATATGAGTGGGGGGGAAAGTGTGTATGTAGGGAGGTACTTAAGTCATGCTTTGGTCTGCAGAGATCATTGGTGGTGAATTGTTCAAACTTTAGACACACGGGGTATTTCTAGAAGATCCACGTATTTGAAAAATATTTCTTGAGTTTTAAATATTTGATAAATAATTTATAACGATAATGATACAATGTATGTATACTAAAACACAGGTAGTCCTCAACTTACAACCAGAAATTATGTCACTAAGTGAGAAATTTGTTACGTGAGTTATGTCCCCTTTTATGACTTTTCTTCCCTTATTTGTTAGGTGAATCACTGCAGTTGTTAAATTAGTAACACGGTTGTTAAGTGGATCTGGCTTCCCCATTGACTCTGCTTATCAGAAGATTGCAAAAGTTGTTACATGGCCGCAGGATATTTCAACCGTCATAAATATGAACCAGTTGTTAAGCATCCAAATGTAAATCACATGACCCATGGGGATACTGCAATGGTCATAAAAGGAGAAAATGGTCATAAATCACTTTTTCCAGTACCATTATAACTCTGAACAGGCACTAAATGAACTGTTGTAAGTTGAGGACTACTTGTAGATATTTTTTTCTAAAAGGAGCAAACCTGAATTAAAGTCTATCAACTTAAAAAAGAGAGAGCGAGAGAGAGAGAGATTATTAGCAATTCATTGTAACTGATCTAAACCTCTGCATTGCATCTAAAATGCTCAGATTTCAGTTTATTCCCAGTCCCAAAAGAAATGTCTTTGGGCAGTTCCCACAGAAAACACACAGCCTTTATATGAAGCACATAATAATAAGAGTAAAGTAGTTTACAAATTAAATAAGAAAAGCTTTTCAGCTGTACAACGTGTAATAAGACTGCATATTCACTAATGAAAAATTGAGACTGTCTTTATATGTTAATTTACTACTTGCGGTTTTAGGATACGACGTTTAGACAATTAAATCTGACATGGCCAAAACATCAGACACAGAAACAGTATGAAAGAACAACTTGGAACCAGGCAACATCTGATATTCTAGTCTCTCCTGGACAGGACCAGAGCATATTTGCTATCTGTCCGTAGAAGATATTTCCAGCTCCTTTGAAGTACCTGTAGCGATGGAACTGCTAGCCACCTATCTTGCCTTTTGATGGGTTTTATCTGCCTTCCCAGGAAATATCTGGCCTGCTAGATTAGAAAATGGCTTCGTGCTGACCATAGCACTACTCTTACAAGCCATTTAGGGCTTTGGTGTTCAATCTTCCCTTTGTGCTTTACTGATCAGCCTGATAATTTCCATCAGCTGTCCTGGTCATCCTCCATGTGCCTTTGTTTATAACACAAGGAGTTCTGTGTTGCACTATCATCAGAATAACAAAGCAACTAGCAAGTAATTCAGGCCTGTCCCAACTCTTTGAAATGTCAGAATTCTCCCTTGGTTAAAACTAGGAAAAACAAAACATTCCAGAACAACTTCAAAATCCCTGTGACTTGCATCCTTCAGAGGCCCCAAAAATGACCTTTATAACTCCCTCATTTAATCTATGCAACTTCCCTGTAAAACAGATTAGGCTAAAATTAAATGATGGGCACAGTCACACAGTGAATGAAGGGGGATTTGAACCCAGACCTTTCAAATCCAGTTAAACCCCACTCTTCTCACTGGAATTAGTTTGCAAATTAAAGTAAGTATGTCTGGTTTAAACCAGGTCACAATTTGCTCAAATCATACAAATATCTATTGTTAAGTAGTAAATAGCAGTTTAAATCCTTGGAGAACATATGATCAATCAAAATTCTCAGTGGGACCAACCAAAATGTCAAGTTAATCAGCAAGCTTTTTAATTTTCTAAGAGTCCTTGTCAGAATAAACAGAATGCAAAATGCTGGCCTGGAAAAAACTGGAATAGTGTAGAAGCCATAAAAACCTACTTTGGTCACCATCTTCAGATGGAGTCCAGGAAAAGGTGACAAGTTCATTGAGTTATGCTTTCCTGCCAGATGCTATGTGGGTTTCAGGTTACCAGCAGTGATGCTTGAACAAAGATACACAGTAGGTGATTTGATCACCCGTGTTTGAAAAAAAAATCTAAAACTTACCTAGATCTGTCTCAGATCTTAAATGAAACATATAAACTGGGTTTAGACTCTTGTACAAGGCCTGGATTTCTTAACCGTAGCTTGAACCAGTCAGATTGGCTGGCTTGTTCACACATTGCACTAAACCATAAACGATGTTACAAATGGTGACTGGATTTGCCCAACCCTCTAAGGCTAAAACCAAACAGCCTAAATTGGCTTTAGAACAATATGTGAACCCGGTCAAGCTTTAAGTAACAGCCTTTTTTATTCAGCGTCACTGAACAGAAGCTGGAAAAAGCTTCTGCTGCTGCATTAATGAAGTATAGAGAGATTATATGCTTGTCTTTTGAGGTTCAAAGCACATCTTCCAAATACTTTTTCAAGAGTGCCTAGCTGTACTGTCACATTTTGGATGGATGATCTCAAATAACTATAATTTAACATTTTGGTGCTGCTTTAAATATTCAGAATATTCCACCCTTTATTTCAGTAGTCCATAACAATCATATAATGTAAATCAGTGAGCAAAATATTGAATACACAAATAGTTTTTTATAAAGCAGCCCAGTTGTCAAGAATAGGACAACACAGGCAATGACAAATCTTCAGGTTTTGGTATGCCCTGCCCCAAAGCATTTGGTATATCGCCCCGGTAGACACAGCTAAATAAATGGAATCCAGCTTTCATTTCCTCCACCGAAGAAAAACTCCCCCATATAATTCAATTTGTAATATAGCCCCCAACAGGTGAAAATGAGATCATATCTTTATTGCTGCACAAAGGGTTAGTAGGTTGATATAGTCAACTACTGCGGGGACAACTCAGTGGCTAAGCTTGCCTATCAGAAAGTTCAGCAGTTTAAATCCCTAGTGCCACATAACAGAATGAGCTCCCGTTATTTGTCCCAGCTTCTGCCAGCCTAGCAGTTCAAAAACAGGTAAAAATGCAAGTAGAAAAATAGGAATCAATTTTGGTGGGAAGGTAACAGTGTTCCATGCACCTTCAGCATTTAGTCATGAGACGTCTTCGGACAGTGGTGGCTCTTTGGCTTTAAAACGGAGATGAGCACTGCCCCCTAGAGTCAGGAATGACTAGCACATATGTGCAAGGGGAATCCTTACCTTTACCTTATAGTCAACTACTAGATGATTTCTGATTTGTTGCTAGATTCAGAATAGCAAAGAATATTTTCCTTGATTGAGCAAACAATAGTTCATCTTCATCGCATCTTTCTTTTATCCCTACCAAATAAGGGGACTGTTCACAAAGAAAAGAAAGAAAGCAAACACAAGCAAAGAAGATTTGCCTATCAATATACAAGTAGAAGGCCTGGATGGTATCACGTGCTCCCATCTTCCCTGTAATGAAATAAGAATATGTGCTGATACTGAAGAATTTACTCAAAGAAATCATCAGGGTCTACTTTAACTAGCCAAGCTATATTGATTTGATTTGCAGTTTTGTATTGATATTCCACCAAGAATCTTTGTCACATCTAAAGATTTAACTTATTTTAACAAAGGAATTTCTTATTAAAATCTTCTCGATCTTCAAGGGACCATGATTATTATGTAATTACTCTTTAACACAAGGCTGGTTAAATTCTGTAATTTTAGAACTTTGGGAAGAACTAAAGCACTTTTCTTTCCTAATTTTCCTAGAGGTATGCTGAAGTTCTTGGTAGACCTTAGCCAGGTTAGAATATGTTAGCCTGACAAGGTCAGCCCATTATATTTATTTCTGGGCAATCCTTGAAAAAAAGGAGGTCCATCCCATAAATTCCATATTCTCTATTAGCAGCACCCACTAATTGTAGTTAAGCTATAGATCCCAGGATCCTTCAAACAATGGTCATATGGTCCAAGGTTTGAGTCTGTATTATGGAAAAAGCCTGAGAATAGGCTATGTTCATATGATTAAGTGTATAAACTAGAAAGCTTGATTAATACAGTAAGCATGCTTAACACCATTTTGAGACATGCATGTGACTTTTAAACTAAGCCTAGTAGCTTTGGGAACCAAAGATTTATTGATTCAAGAATAAG